AGGAAATGCGGAGGGCAGTTGATTTCCCAGAGGTGTTCATCTAAGCAAGGCTTCCCTCTCATTCCCTGCTACAAAACAGTACGTTAGATAGGGCTTTTCCCTAGGACTGTGTTGTAGATTCGAAACACAATATCTGGGTAGCTGTGATGCACATGGTTAGAGGGACAGAATCCCTGCAAAGAGGGGCTTGGTGATGAGATGCAAGATGGGGAAAGTACGTTCTAGCTTCAGCCTCATTCTGCTTTTCCCTTTTGGGAAAGAATTACTCTTCAGCAGCTATCAGCATCATGAATGTCATCACAGCCACAACCTGGCTTCATTCTTTCTCCATTTTCATCCTGAATGTCATTTTGAAGCTTGTGAAAATTGCTCTGGGATACAAGAGAAATGTACCTATAAGTAAGTGTTCATTTACTCGTATGATTCACTGCTGCCTACAGGAAACGGGAAAGACTGCTGTAACTGTGATAAAAAGTTGACAGTGTATAGAAGTTAACCCGTGGTGTGTAAATGGCTATGAAAGACCATGGTTGGCTCTGAGCTCTCCATGAAGCCCACAGTTCATCACTTATTTTTTGACACTGATATATTTGGGCTCTGTGGACCTCTCCAATTTCTGTCTCTCTACAAGCCAGAAGGTAATCATAATGTAGGTTGGGAGCATGACATTACCGTTTCTCATGCTAAGCAAGTGCAAACTGCTCCCAGGAGGATGCCTATTTATTACTGGCTCTGTGCCGTGAAAGACTGACCTAATGAAGCAATACAGAGCAGCTGATGTTGGCAGTTCTTGTGGCATGGACAATTAAAGGTGCTTTTATTGGCAAAATATTTGCGCTCAAAAGGCTACCACGTACAGGTGCCCTGTCTTGATAATTCTGTGGTGCAGGGTTTTTATTTGGCTGCCCTTTCAAAACCACATGTAAGCTTTGCATTTGAATCCATTAGGGATGCAACTGAGTTTTATGTAAAAAAATAAATAAATAGGTAAACAGCTCGATTGAAGCTCCATTTTCATTATTATGTTTTAACTAGTGTCTCCTAATGGTAACATATAAAGCATATGTTATATGTTACCATTAGGAGACACTATCACATGTACCAAATAGAAAATATTGTGTATGTCAAGTTAAAACATGTCACTTGTTTAGGTTTTTACTGCCTTCATAAATGACTAACAAATACAGGGTTCTAGAGTAAAAACCAATATCTGAGAAGATTGACTTTTTTTTTTTTTACCATTCTAACATCTTTGCCATGTGAAAGAAAATGTTAGCCCATTTTCAATGAAGGTTATGAAAATATGGTTTTAAAGTGCAAAGAGTGAGAGGTATCCAACCAAAATTAAACATAAACTTTCATACAAATGGCTATATTTAGACATCTGTATTTGGTATCCCAAAATATAGAGGTAGATATCTGACTGAATTAACTGTCTAAACTCCATGTAGTTAGTGGAGAGACAGTAGCAAAGGTATGATACAGCCTGGCTCTTTCTTCTGTAATTGTCTAATGTACAGCAGACCAGTCATGTCATAACAGTGTCTAAATCTCTCCACTGAATGCAAAGGAAAGTCCAGGTGAGCAGTTCAGACGTAAATATCTACTGTGCAGATGTTTAAAGACAGTTGAAATGATGCCCATACACTCAGAAACTGAAAAGCAAAATGCCTCCTTGTTGTAACACTCAGAGGCAAGTGAAACTGGGAGGCCTAGAACTCCTAAAAAAACATCCTAAATAACACCTAGCCAACAGTGCACTTGGAGCAATCAGGGCTGACCCCTTTCCTAAAGTTAAACACTTGCATATCTTCTGCTGAATTTGAAAATGACAAGGAAACAGACTCTGCATCTCCTGATACCTAGGGGAATGCTCAAAGGCTACTAGATAAACGGATAATTCCTTCTCCTTCAAGTATATTATAAAAGCAAGACATGGCTTGCAACTGATTTTTGTGAGTTCCCTACAGACTTATCTATCTCAGAAGCACATACTACTTCAGAAGTACGTAGGTACACAGAACAATTGCATTGAGCACCACGTAAGACTATTTGGATGGACCTCCAGTGTTCTGGTCTCAAGTGGGGGGTATAAGCATGATCTAGATGCTAAGTTGCTCAGCTGAGTCAAGGTTTGGATGAAGCAATTGATTTAAAATGATACAGGCATATAATATAAAAAAGAAAAGTACTTATGAAGTTTAAATGATGTCAGACTAAACTCAGAAGAGCTTTTCAAAATAGAAATTTTGGACTTAAATGTCTGACTTGACTTAAATCTGACTTCAGGTTCCTACATTAAGCAATTCCATTAAGTCATTAAAGTTACAGCAGGGAGAAATTCAGCCCTAAGTGACATGATTTTTGACATGTAATTTGCACCTTTTCTAGAACCAAAATGTTATTGCACTATCATTTTCAAGACCATTCTAAAGCCGTGCATCACCACTCTGTATACACTATAATTCTTTTGAGCAGAAGGTCAATATTTAAGAAACTTGATTCATATTAACCTAGTATTAAGCAACTGGATCATTTATATACCTTTATGGGTAAATATATAACAGCTCATATCAGAAGATACTGTTTTAAAGAGTGAAGTCTATTTAAATAGTAGATTCTGTGCAAAAGTTTAATCTCTGCATATCTGCCTTAAAAAATTATTGATGGCAGAGATGTTAATTTCTAAGTAAAACAATTTATATTCTTAAACCAGGCTACATCTTTTCAAATTCTGGTAGAAACAGGCAGCCAACTAGCACATATCATTAAACTTCAGATTTCCCTGTAAATGACAGCCAAAGCATCCAGAAACTTCAATATATTTTCTCTGAGGCTAGTTGATGTAGGAAGATTTTCATGAGATGTTTTCTCTTCTATCATCACCTCAATGATGGAAACAGTGACTGATTAAGCCTACACTCCTTTCAGGTTGATATACCTGACTGAAAAAAAATAAAAAAATAAATCTCACCGCAGGAATTCTTCCTGAAAACTAAAATAGATGATAAAGTAAAAGACCAATCCTCTACTGACACTTAATGAAGACAGGTTTCAAGGGGTTTTCTATACCAGAGATTACTTTATACCCCAGGACAAGACGAAACCAGCAGATTTCTGCAGCTGAAGATTACAATCACAGCAGAATAAGAAAAATAACAAAACCATATTACTTGTTAAATCACTTACACTGGTTTTCCTTTGGATTCACAAGTCAAAATTATAGATTGTCCTTCTTCAGGCCATGAATTGGAAGAAATTATTTTAACTAAAGGTGTATCTAGGAAGAAAAAAAAATAAACATCTTGTTGATATACACAAAAAAAGATTTATTATCTAAGAGTACATTCTTCTCTATTTACAAAAGACTATACCATAGATTTAATTTACGCTTGGAGATTCTTTTATATGGAGCCTTGTGCAATTTCCATTGTCTTCAGGAAGGCACTAAAAATGACCAATGGAACCAAACCAGTAACTTTTTATATCCCAAGGAAACACAGATAGAAAGCACGTGTATACTCAGAGGAAATAACTTTTTGTTTTCTGTGTTCAATGCAAATACTCCATACGACTATTCCAAAGTCTGGTATCTAACAACGAAATAAAAAATATTGAGGATGAATAAAAAGTACTCTGTGTCTGCCAATTGTTTCTTTGTCTATTTATAGGTTGATATAATGGAATGCTGCTATTAGAGGAATGAATGCTATAATATACATTTGAATAAGAACATTTTTATTGTTGCAGAAGCTTGAAACTCATAATAAGAAAGCTACAATAGATTTTCAGATAAAATACCTTGTTACAGGCAATTTATTGTTACAGGATATTATTTCTGAACTACAATAACACTGCCCCATAAAACAGAACATTATTCTTTTAAAAAACCCAAAATTTACAAAGAATGTTTTAAATATCTGCAAAAAGCACTAGGTAAAAGTCTATAATCTACCCTAAAAATTTAAAAATATTGTTCCTATACATTGGAATTAACTTTATAGTTTTAATTGCAAAAAGATACACAATATAGCTACTGTGATTTCATGCAGAATAAAACATTTTCAGTAGATCTTTAACTTTTGAAAAATGTTGCCAGCTGGCTTGCAAGCATATATTCTCATAATCAAAATATTTTCCATTAGTTAGAGGGGTACCCCTTATAAGGAAAAAAAAAGAGCATAAAGAAAGAAACATCTCTATACAAAAAAGTTTTTTCCTTAGGAAAGGGAAAAAAACAGTTCATAGTCATAGTTCATAGTTCATGGTCATTTTTCACAGGAAAATTTTCAGACTTAATAGGAAAATATAAATTCTTGTTTCCTCCAGTTTCCTAATACGAAACACATGTCTTCACCTATGGCACAAGAAATACTTTGACCTGCTAATCTAGAGTATCTAAGTTTTGTCTGATCCAATTTGCAATTCCTATTTTCATTACAGTGAGGTAGCAGTGACACCACAGATATCCTATTATCAAGCAAATGTGAAAGAGCATGACAATATGACCCTACAAAATCAAATGGAAAAAAATGATACGCTGTAATGATATAATTTCTTATTGAGATGCTAATAGCCCTGTTGAACAGTAAATGGCATATGAACAATTAAAAATGTCAGAAGCATTTTTCTATTTTTAATTTTTATTTTTTGGCATATAATAATGTATTAGCATGGCACAAGACAAGAAAAGGAGAAGGCTTAGTGTAGACTTGTCATAATTCCACTGAAAGCATTCTCAGCATCATTTAGCTTTCAGTACAGCTGCGCTAACCTTACACCAGTAGCAAATCTGTTCCACAAGTTCATATTTTTAAGGACTCTGCAAACCATTATGCAGGTGACTAATCCTCTGGAGGTCATGCTGGCATTTGCTTCATTTTTAGCACAGGCTTAAGGCACTGACCTCAAGTGCCTTAATAAATCAGGGCATCAAGTACTTCTGTGATTTCTGTGGTGCTATGGAAGACAGATAAATTACTCTCTTGACTATACATTGAACCAGAGGAACAAATTAGTATCAGAGAGGAATACAAGAAGAATTGAACTGAGGGAGGGAGACAACTAATGCGATGAGATCAAGAGGTTTCCAGACAAACACGAAAAAGAGCTAAACTTTGATGAAAGTAATCATGATAGCCATAGGTGAAGCAAGAAATTAAAGGCCCATCTAGCTAGCATTACCGGCTCAAACATTTAAGAAATGATCAGCATTTTAGACATTACTGTAAGTGACCCACATAAAATAGACGAGGGAACTTTAGGCAATTAAGCTTTCATTTGCATGGATCAATGGA